ACACACACACCCAGTGGAACCACACCCGACTTTGAACACCATCTGAAAGTTCTGGGTGAAAGAGGAAACTCAAAATCCAGTTTCAAAATCAAATTAAGTGATTACTGTTTTGTGTTCGTGTGTGTGCGTGTGTGCGTGTGTGTGTGTGTGTGTGCGTGTGTGCACGCGCACTCCAGTGGGAGTCATTAAAGGTATAACCTGCGCCAATTATGGAGATAATTAGGTGTTGCTTTAAAACTCCAATTTGATTCATAAATGGCAATTATAAAGCTCAAATGCCAGAATGTTTTCTGGTAATAGATTTATGTGTTCATTGCAGTTCAGCAATGCACACTGCAGGATTCTGGTGACTCCGCTGGAAAATACCACAGGTCATTCTGGCCTGTTTTTCAGAATTCATGCAGATAAAACTGCAAAGCAACAAACTTTTGGTCCAGGGCACCAAGGCGGTGTTCAGATTCCACCGACCCGCCACCAAAACCTTCCCAGGTGAACCGCTCAAGGGCTATTATTGCGGTGTTAGTAACATGCAGAACTGAATGCTTACCTTTTAAGAGAGGTGAAGACAGCAAAGGCAAGCCAGACTTTGTTATTTAAGTAGTAATTTAAAAACCTCAGGGTGTTTTTTTTATTAATGTTTAGAGGACTTGAGGAGTACCAAACTCCAAAACCTTTGTGAAGATGGAAACATCTTGATACTATAGTGAACAGATGGGGTGGGGGGAGTAAAATTCTTTCCTCCGTTTTTTTTTTTTTTTGCGGGGGGGATGGGGTGCTGAAGGTTACCTGGCATTTTAAAAAAGTAGTTTAGAATCAAAAGGAGGGTTTATTCTAGCTTCTTTGTACAAACCTCTTTGAGGCAATATTTTGTTTACCTCATTTCAGTTAGTTCTGGCTGATGGCACATCAAGGTCGAGCTGCAGGACCCTTTGCTGCACAGCTCTCCTGCTGTGGGTTTTTTTTTTTAATTCTCTCGGTCACTGGAGGCTGTGGGTCCCTCCCAAGGAGCATTCCTTGGGCTCTGTGCCCTGGCAGACTAGCTGTGCTCCATGTTATCATCTTGCTCTCTGAGAGCCCTTTATTCAAGCCCAGCAAATGTCACCATTGTGAAGTGCCTGGAACCCTCAGGATGAGAAAAGCCATCTCAATCTGGGGGAAGACCTTCCTCCCACCTAAAATGCCGATCCCAGGGCAATGCTATCGGGACGCTTGCTGACTGACTCACTATGGAAAATGAGGGCAAGGCTGTGGTGTGGTGTGGCAGTGTGCTCTGCTGGTGACCACAGCAAATTCCTCAGGGCTGTGGTGACTTCCTCGGGGATGACTCCGGCCCTCCTCATCATCTCAGGGATTCCTTCTCTTTTCGAAACTGTGCCCACTCTGTGTTCTCAGGACTGTGCTATGCTCACTTGCTGTTGTAGCTCAGGCTGCTGTAACAAAACACCACAGACTGGGTGGCTTAAACAACAGACACTTATTTTTCATAGTTCTGGAGGCAGGAAGTTCAAGATCAAGGTGCAAGGCAGATTTGCTGTCTGATGAGGACCTGCTTCCTGGTTGGCAGTCGGCCGCCTTCACATGGAAGAGAGAGCAAGCTCTGTTCTCTCCCTTTTCTTATAAGGACATTTATCCCATCTTGGGGGCTCTACCATCCACATCTAAACCTATGTACCTCCCAAAGGCCCCACCTCCAAATACCATCACACTGGAGATTAGGTCTCCAACCTATGAATTTGCAAGGAGAAGAGGGACACAAACATTCATTCCCTAGCACTTGCCATATAGCACATGCGTGCTCATGCAGACACACACAGATATGCAATGTTCCATGTGTCTTTGCTATTAGACATTGCCATAGCTTGGGGTCGACTGTAGAGTATAGAAGAACGAAAGTTACAAAAGCTCTTTTACTCATTTATGTAGAATGTATGAGTCTTTTGAAAAAATTTAATTTCCTCCCAAGGTAAATTATACAGTGCCTAGCACAGTGCCGGAGCCAATGGGTAATAGTCACCACTGAGGGAAATCACTCTCTCTGAACTAACATCCTTGAGTATCATAACTAATCCTGCTGCATCTGCAACACAGGTTCTTACTTACCTTTTGGGAGTAAACAGTATGTAGATACAGCTTTCTTGGTGTATTTAGTTTTTGATTTGCTGTGAAAAGCTATCTCAGGAGTGTTTTTAAATTCTGGACTGGGAAGCTGCTTCAAACACTGCACGATGTAAGTTGTATATAAATAAGGACAGTGATACCGTCTGTAAGCCAGGCGTAAACACGACCAAATCTAAAGCACTAACAGTGATTTTGGAATTTGCAAGCTCGGGTGATGTCGGTTGAATTGGGTGATTTGAGCTGACGGACCAGCCACCCATGTGGAGAGGAGCTTAGTGGCGGCTTTAGGAGAGCTGGCTGGCCGGTGGCCACCCCAAGAGGACAGCTTCCGGCAGGACCGCCTGGATGGAATGTAAGGAAAGAGAAGATGGGTTAAATGAGGAGGCGAAAGGCATGGCAAAACCTAAAAGGCCCTGGTAATAAACATAATAATCAGTACTATGGTAAATGCTTTGATTCTTGTGCCTACTGGAACTTAACTTAATTGCTCTCATAGCATACTGCAAGATAGATTTGATCATTCATTTTGCAGGTGAGAAGTCTGAGATGCAGGCTATCAATTTGCTCGTGGTCGTATAACTAGTAGGAGAGGGAAGGAGGAGGCAAGAATTTGAATTGAGGCCTTTCTGACTCCAAACATACTTGTCTCTTTGGCCCAATGATAACATTTTACTTACTGTCAACCAACTCAATTCATAAATATTATTCAGGGCCCTACCGTGTTCCAGGAACTGAAAAGACAGGACAACTCGCAGATTCTGTTGTAAAGGAGCAGATTCCTAGAGGAGTTCAGCAGGTCCTTAGAATACCATGTGTACGTTATTCAGATGATGTAACAGTGATAAGAAGGGAGTTTGGTTTTCACCTGCACCCTAAATCCTTACTTTGAGAGTTAAACATTCTCACCTAGATTCCTTTCCGTTTCTTCAGAGGCAGCGTATCCAAAATTGGATGTAGCTCATCCCACACCCTAAAACCCACCAACCACAGCTATTTCCCCTCCCAACTTCCCTGTCTATTCAGGGCAGCACAGCAAACTAACAAGATTGGAAACTTTCACCATCACTGCCACTTCCTTACTTGGGGATCTTAGACCAATGAGTGTCCTACCCCATTGCTTCCTGTTGTGTTGCTGTCACTTATCCAAGCCTTTTATACCTCAATCTGCAACACTGTAATTGGCTTCCCTTCCTCTATGCTCTCCTTACCCCTACCAGTGTGTCTGTCTTCAAGCCACAACCCCCTTTTCTTAAAAAAAAAGATATATTTATTGATTTCGGAGAGGAAGGGAGAGGGAGAGAGAGTTAGAAACATCAATGGTGAGAGAGAATCATTGATTGACTGCCTCCTGCACGCTCCCTACTGGGGACCAAGCCCGCAACCCGGGGAACCAGAATCAAACCCGGAACCCTTCAGTTCACAGGCTGACACTCTATCCACTGAGCCAAACCGCAATCCCCTTTTCTTAATAATTGCATTGGTAAGATCCCCTGAAGATCCAAAGTGAACCAGTCATTCCCTCATTAAGCTCCACGAGGGCAGGGTTTTTTCTCTCTTTTGTTCACTATCCTATTTTCAGTGCCTAGAGAGAAACCTGATACATTGTTTTTAATGTATGGACTGATGCAGGAGTAGTCAGAGAGGAAGGGAGGGAGGGAAGAAAAGAGGGAGGGAAGGAGGGAGGAAGGGAGGGAGGCAACTAATATTTTCTAGTGCTTATTATGTTCAAGCGTTGTGCTAGTTACTTTGCATGTGACTTCATTTCATCTTTACAGGCTATTATGATCCACAAATTTTATTAACTTACTCAAAACACGTTTATTGAATATTGACACAAGCCAGACACTCTTCTAGACACTGGGAAAGGTCAACAAGGCAGGCTTAATGCATACACTCTCAGAATGTGTGCGCATGTGCGGCTCAGAGAGACAATACTCAAGTAAAAGAACAAAGTAGCTACAATTTGTAATAAAGATGATGAAGGAACCAGAGACTTTGCTGCAGCTGGAGGCTGAAGAGCATAGCTCAACTGTGGCCTTTGAAAGCCGTGCTAGGTATCACGTCCATCCTTATTTCCACTGCTGCCCACCAGACAGCAATTTCAGGGGGGGCCCTAAGCTTCTCTCTGGTCCACGAATACACCACATTTTCCCCGCCTCAGGTCCTTCCTCACATTCCATTCAACAGGTAGGTGTTTCCCATTTTCTGCACTGCCTGCCATGCTTCTCTGTATATACACTTTGCATGCCTCTGGGGAGCTCCCACGCTTGTGAAAAGATTAGAAACCACCGGCAGTGCTGTTATACCCAGCAGGACGTGGTGAGTGAGAGATCTGATGGAGACATGAAGGAAATATGGGAGGGTTTTGATGGAGACATGATCATGTCCATTTGAGGGAGATTAGAAAATGTAGTTTGGAGAGGTGGTATTTGGGGGCATGGGTATGATTTTTACAGCTTACCATGGTAGAGAAAGTATGGTTAAAACAGGTGAGACAGTATATGCAAAGATCACATAGATGACAGAGTTCCGGGCACATTCCGGCAGTAGCAAGAATCCCAGGGTGGCTGGACGATGGAGCAGCTGTAGGGGAGAGAGGGCATTGAACGCTAACATGGGACCATGCATTGGAGGACAAAATGCCAGAGAGAGGAGTATATAATTCATGTGGTGGGCAGTGGGAATTCACTGCCTTTGTGACCAGGAGAAAGGCATGCTTGTAGCTGCGTTTGAGGACGATGGTGCTGGCATGCTGGAGGAGGAGCGGGGGAGGCCAATTAGATGGCTGTTGGCAGTAGATCAGGTGAATGGGAAAAAGGAGGTGACCTTGGGGGATACAATGATGATGAAGGCTGTGAGGTTAGAGAGGACAGGCAAGTCACAGGGCTCTGAGCGAATGGACGCATTAGACACAAAAATAATGTCGGTGGGAAATTAATTTGAAGTGAAAGATAATTCATTGACATCCCTTTACCTGGAAGTGTTTTCCCTTCTCTAGTCTATATAAAGTCTAACTTTATGGGAAAGATGGGTAAAAGCTGAATAATGCAGTTTTACCCTTTACAGCAGTTCTAGTCTGTTGACATAAATGAATGTCGATTGCCTTATATTGTTCCTTACCTGGTGTGAGTGTGTTGGTCTGGTCTCCACAGGTAATGATAAATCAGAAACGTCCATTTCCTCTAAAACAGTTTTTTAAAGTTCAGAGAAAAAGAAGCTTAAAGACAAACTCCTAGAAATCTCTTTGAATCTTTTTCTTGGGAAAAAAGATCAGAATTTCCCATTGAACTATATGTAGTTTATAATTTCTTCAAAGTCTAATGCACAGTTTATGATTAAGGAAAAAGAAGGTAGAAAGTATGTAGAAGGAACAAAAGATGTTAATTAACATGTAGAGGGAAATCCTAGTGCCAAAAAAAAAATTCAAGTCAATTTTAGCCCAAGACATGAAGCTCCATTTTCAATGTTGGTTCACCTGATCCAAACAAACACAAACCAGTTATAAAAACTGGACCTTATTTGAAAGAGACCTAACCAATACCATCACAGTTTAGTGAGACTACCACAGAAAAGCATGCAGGTACCTGACCCTTGACCTTTAATGTTTTTGCCATTTTTTAGGATAAAGAGGAAGGTCCTGTTACTGGAGACATTTTGCCAAGTGCTTCGGCATCCTGGAAATTTGCTCTGCCTATTTGATGTCATCATCTGGTTCCCAAGTGGTGGCAGTTTTCTTCAGGAGATATTTGGGTAATGGGTCTAATGATAATAATGGTTTAATAGCACAGGTTTCTTTTAAAGAACGGAACAAATTAAAAAAATAATTTCTGGTTTGTATTTATGACAACCTGTGAAGTTAGAAAGGAAATATCGTTATCTGTATAGCCCAAATCTCTTTCCTGTGTATTTGGGAAAAATGAAAGAAGTCTGTCTCCCTTATCTCAAAACTGAGTAATGAATGGACCGATTTTCCCAACACTTTGGGGGCGCTTTAGTTCTGGTATACCACATTCATTTAGCCAGTGAAATGACATTCATTAGAATCTTGAATATTTAATTTACTTTTAAATATGTTCGATAAATTTGCAGTTTAAAATATACCCTATCAAACTTTGGTCTCCATGTATGCTGACAGAGATCATTGAAGAGGTTAGAAGTGAAAATCCAAAGACCAAGTATGAGAAAAACAATAAACACATAAATCAGAGTGACACTACGTGATGTCCTATGGCGGACAAAAAGCCCATGCTAATTGCAGAGGAGAGCTTTAAATGTGAGTGAGTGGCTTTTTAGATATGGATAGTTAATCTTTTCCTTGTAGGAAGCTATTTTTTTTTTTAAAGCAACTGACATATCACTTGGGACTAATTTATGTTATGGCTTTGGGAGCTAAAATGTGTTTTAAAATGATGTTCACATAAGGTTTAAAAAAATTGTTAGCTTTTATCAGTTGTAAGCTAATCCTGGATTCCCACCTGTATTCACATATACTAGACTTGAGACAAATTACATGAAATATATTATGTATTGTATTTAAATTATCTTTGCTTTTGCATTGCAGGCATAACTTTTTAAATGTGAAAATTCAGACACAGACATATGTGTACAGAGCAATGCAACTCTGAGCTCATGCTAAAACATCCCTGATGGCCTTGGGATAGTTCTGGAGGTGGGTGCCTAAGTAAGATGTGAATGTGGACTTGGACTGTCATGTAAGTCTCCTGTATTGGTGTGCTTGTCCTTGTGGATCCCAGGTACTATTGTGAAAATTATATAAGACTAGAGGCCCGGTGCACAAAAATTTGTGCACTCGGGGGGGAAGGAGGGTCCCTCAGCCCGGCCTGTGCCCTCTCACAGTCTGGGACCCCTAGGGAGATAACGACCTGCTGGCTTAGGCCTGCTCCTGGGTGGCAGAGGGCAGGCCCAATCCCTAGGTGCAGCCCCTGGTCAGGCTCAGAGCAGGGCTGATTGGGGAGTTGGGACGCCGCCCCCTGTCATGCACAGAGCAGGGCGGAT